GATAGACAGACAGACAATGGATAGTCAGACAAACAGACAGACAGACAGATAGATAGATAGATAGATAGATAGATAGATAGATAGTCAGATAGTCAGATAGATAGTCAGATAGATAGATAGATAGACCGACAGGCAGACAGACAGACAGATATACAGATAGATGATAGACAGACAGACAGACAGACAGACAGACAGATAGATAGACAGACAGACAGACAGACTGATAGATAGATAGATAGACAGACAGACAGAGAGACAGACAGATAGATGATAGATAGACAGACAGATAGATAGATAGATAGATGATAGATAGACAGACAGACAGACAGACTGATAGATAGATAGATAGACAGACAGACAGAGAGACAGACAGATAGATGATAGATAGACAGACAGATAGATAGATAGATAGATGATAGATAGACAGACAGACAGACAGACTGATAGATAGATAGATAGACAGACAGACAGAGAGACAGACAGATAGATGATAGATAGACAGACAGATAGATAGATAGATAGATGATAGATAGACAGACAGACAGACAGACTGATAGATAGATAGATAGACAGACAGACAGAGAGACAGACAGATAGATGATAGATAGACAGACAGATAGATAGATAGATAGATGATAGATAGACAGACAGACAGACAGACTGATAGATAGATAGATAGACAGACAGACAGAGAGACAGACAGATAGATGATAGATAGACAGACAGATAGATAGATAGATAGATGATAGATAGACAGACAGACAGACAGACTGATAGATAGATAGATAGACAGACAGACAGAGAGACAGACAGATAGATGATAGATAGACAGACAGATAGATAGATAGATAGATGATAGATAGACAGACAGACAGACAGACTGATAGATAGATAGATAGACAGACAGACAGAGAGACAGACAGATAGATGATAGATAGACAGACAGATAGATAGATAGATAGATGATAGATAGACAGACAGACAGACAGACTGATAGATAGATAGATAGACAGACAGACAGAGAGACAGACAGATAGATGATAGATAGACAGACAGATAGATAGATAGATAGATGATAGATAGACAGACAGACAGACAGACTGATAGATAGATAGATAGACAGACAGACAGAGAGACAGACAGATAGATGATAGATAGACAGACAGATAGATAGATAGATAGATGATAGATAGACAGACAGACAGACAGACTGATAGATAGATAGATAGACAGACAGACAGAGAGACAGACAGATAGATGATAGATAGACAGACAGATAGATAGATAGATAGATGATAGATAGACAGACAGACAGACAGACTGATAGATAGATAGATAGACAGACAGACAGAGAGACAGACAGATAGATGATAGATAGACAGACAGATAGATAGATAGATAGATGATAGATAGACAGACAGACAGACAGACTGATAGATAGATAGATAGACAGACAGACAGAGAGACAGACAGATAGATGATAGATAGACAGACAGATAGATAGATAGATAGATGATAGATAGACAGACAGACAGACAGACTGATAGATAGATAGATAGACAGACAGACAGAGAGACAGACAGATAGATGATAGATAGACAGACAGATAGATAGATAGATAGATGATAGATAGACAGACAGACAGACAGACTGATAGATAGATAGATAGACAGACAGACAGAGAGACAGACAGATAGATGATAGATAGACAGACAGATAGATAGATAGATAGATGATAGATAGACAGACAGACAGACAGACTGATAGATAGATAGATAGACAGACAGACAGAGAGACAGACAGATAGATGATAGATAGACAGACAGATAGATAGATAGATAGATGATAGATAGACAGACAGACAGACAGACTGATAGATAGATAGATAGACAGACAGACAGAGAGACAGACAGATAGATGATAGATAGACAGACAGATAGATAGATAGATAGATGATAGATAGACAGACAGACAGACAGACTGATAGATAGATAGATAGACAGACAGACAGAGAGACAGACAGATAGATGATAGATAGACAGACAGATAGATAGATAGATAGATGATAGATAGACAGACAGACAGACAGACTGATAGATAGATAGATAGACAGACAGACAGAGAGACAGACAGATAGATGATAGATAGACAGACAGATAGATAGATAGATAGATGATAGATAGACAGACAGACAGACAGACTGATAGATAGATAGATAGACAGACAGACAGAGAGACAGACAGATAGATGATAGATAGACAGACAGATAGATAGATAGATAGATGATAGATAGACAGACAGACAGACAGACTGATAGATAGATAGATAGACAGACAGACAGAGAGACAGACAGATAGATGATAGATAGACAGACAGATAGATAGATAGATAGATGATAGATAGACAGACAGACAGACAGACTGATAGATAGATAGATAGACAGACAGACAGAGAGACAGACAGATAGATGATAGATAGACAGACAGATAGATAGATAGATAGATGATAGATAGACAGACAGACAGACAGACTGATAGATAGATAGATAGACAGACAGACAGAGAGACAGACAGATAGATGATAGATAGACAGACAGATAGATAGATAGATAGATGATAGATAGACAGACAGACAGACAGACTGATAGATAGATAGATAGACAGACAGACAGAGAGACAGACAGATAGATGATAGATAGACAGACAGATAGATAGATAGATAGATGATAGATAGACAGACAGACAGACAGACTGATAGATAGATAGATAGACAGACAGACAGAGAGACAGACAGATAGATGATAGATAGACAGACAGATAGATAGATAGATAGATGATAGATAGACAGACAGACAGACAGACTGATAGATAGATAGATAGACAGACAGACAGAGAGACAGACAGATAGATGATAGATAGACAGACAGATAGATAGATAGATAGATGATAGATAGACAGACAGACAGACAGACTGATAGATAGATAGATAGACAGACAGACAGAGAGACAGACAGATAGATGATAGATAGACAGACAGATAGATAGATAGATAGATGATAGATAGACAGACAGACAGACAGACTGATAGATAGATAGATAGACAGACAGACAGAGAGACAGACAGATAGATGATAGATAGACAGACAGATAGATAGATAGATAGATGATAGATAGACAGACAGACAGATAGATAGATAGATGATAGATAGATAGACAGACAGACAGACAGATAGATAGACAGACAGACAGAGAGACAGACAGACTGATAGATAGATGATAGACAGACAGACAGATTCTTGTCATGAAAGAAAGATATTTATTTTTTAATCTAATTATTTGTTCTATTTGTTTATCTTTAATCTCACTTTAAAGGTGTGTTAATTTGAATCATTTGATTGCAGGACTTTATGTGGAATGATTCTGAACAAATGTAACATTCTTTCTTTTTTTTTGCTTTTGCACAGTAAACATAGGCCTACTGAACATGATCTTCTGGAATGTTTTTCGTGTGTGCTTACGTGTGCACACTATTGTGAATTATATGGGTTAGTCATTTGGTTATTAGGTGATATTTCCTTGTTAACTGGTTTTCTTAAACTCCCCCCCCCTCACTGTTCTTTACATCATCACACCAATAGGTGGCGACTGCGTCCAGTGAGTGCAGGTCGGTCTTATTCACACTATTAGAAACTTTGATTAAAAATGTTGTTCAGTATTTATATGAACTCATTATTTACCGTTTCATGCTGTACTTTTTTTTTTAGATGAATCCTAGATTATTGACATAAAACGTCAAACCCCACTGTAATACAGAATACAGTGCATAAATTTGCACCCCCCTCAGCATCTGCAAGGTGTTTATGATTTTGCATCATAAAAATAGCATTTTATTGTTGTTGTTTAGTGCTGTGCATTCCAACTGACACACATTCTGGAATCCTTTTGGTTCTGATAGTGTGTGTGTATCTTGTATTATAGTGGTTATTATTATTATTAGTTTATTATTGTTATTATTTTGTGATAGTCGTTCATGAGTTCTTCAGAAAGATCCTCCAGTTCCTGCACATTCTTTGGTTTTCCAGCTTATTCTGCATATTTGAATCCTTTCCAGAAGTGACCGTGTGACTTTGAGATCATGTTTTCACACCGAGGACCATAGAAAGCCTCAAAGCTGCAAACATTTACTGATGCTCAAGACGGAAACACTATGCATTACAAATCAAGAGGATGTAAACTTTTGTGCAAATTATTATTTTGTCTTGTGGCAAATATGTGGTTTCAGAAAAGCGGTACCAAATAAAACATCTCGTTTTATATTTATATAAATATAAATAAGAGACCCAAAAGGAGTATGCAACCTTATGCACTCTGTATGCACTTTTGTTCTTTCTAAGGCGTTTTAAATTATGGGAGGCACTTCCGGTTTGGGGAAGTTCCATTCAAAAAGACTGCAACAAATCATTTCAAATCTAAAGATTGCGCTACAAATGTGACATAACAACAGTATCTATAGAATAGCTCTTTTCAGCTCACTGATTATTTTCATGTTTCCTTTGTATTCCAATGTAAGTAAATTGGGAAAAAAAAGACAACATATGTGCATTTGTATTCTGCTCTCCCGATTTAGTTTATGATATAAACCATGAATAATTTCTCTCTTTCCAGGTTTGTTTTTTTTTCACACGGATGTTGTGAAATGCAATTGTTACGAAATGCAGACGTGTAATAGCTGCTATAATGATATTTAACACGTCCGTATTTCGGCTGCAGATTGAAGGAGGATCTTTAGGAGTTATTCACGGTATGCTGGATGTAATTTGTTAATGCTTTTACACTTTTAAATTTCCTTTCAATTAATGAATATGTCTATGCTTGTGACAACTAGCCCCGTTGAGAGATCACGTGACGCCGCTGCTGTCCGCGGTGCTGAAATCATCCGCGCGCGCTGAGGGCGGGTCGTGTGACGTCACGCGTGACGACATCCTCGGACCAGACACTCGGCGAGTCCGCGCGACCGTAACGGATATTTGCGCCTCAAAACACCGATAAAACCGTCACTTGACGCTGAACAGATAAAGCGCGGAGATGTCTGTGGCGGGGCTGAAGAAGCAGTTTCACAAAGCGACGCAGGTAAGAGCGGAATCCGTCCGTTTCTTCGCGACGCGTTTGATCCGCGCGAAAGCGTCAGTCCGTGTGAGACCGGTTCACAAAACGAGTTCGGTCCAGAAACCGACGCTAACGTCTGCGGACAGACGGTGAACGGGCTTGTTTATGAATGTATGAAAACAGCGCGAGACCTGCGGGGGACCGGACGCCGTCACGTGACCCCAGATATGGCGCGATGCTCACCTGAGGAGAAAGCTAGGGACAGATTTAGCAGGTTTTTTGGTTTAATTCAGCTTCTGTATAGACGAAAACCTTACTGTCTTCTTGAATATAAAACGTTGTAGTTTCCCTTATTGAATATTCAAATGATTATTGTACAGGGAAGAACAGTGACCCCGTAGCGGGGCATGTTGTCACAATGGTAGCCTGAGTCGAGAATTTATGATATGAAGAAAACTCTATTGTGAGTGTGTGTGTGTGTGTGTGTGTGTGTGTGCATGAGTGAGTGAGTGAGTGAGTGTGTGTGTGCGTGAGTGAGTGAGTGTGTGTGAGTGTGAGTGTAGATAAATGTGTCCCTGGAGCACAAAAGCAGTCTCAAGTCGCTGG